AGAATCTGGCTGGGTTGCTGGGGAGAGAAAAAGACATTCCAGACCGAGGAAGGGGACATGGAGGTGGGGGAGGGGGACCATGGGGTTAGGGATAGAGGCCCAGGGAGACTGGGCAGGAAATTGGAGCAAGCCTGTATTAAAGGGGTAGCAGGAATGAACTGAAGGAGATACAGAGAGAGCAGAATGATGGGGAGAGGGGGACGGGACTGTGGGGATCGAGGAAAGGGCTGGAGACGAGACAGAGACTGCGTGGGCTGGGCAGGGAGAGCGCCCTGGGGGGATGGGGGACGGAAGGGAGTTGGAGAGGGAGTCGGTGACTGGGGTGGGGGGTCTGATGGATGGGGACGAGGAGGGGGAAGGGTCCGATAGAGAGGGGGAGAGAGATGAGGAGAGAGGGAGCTAGGGAAGGGGATTCTGAAGGCAGGAGACCCAGGGAGGGGCCAAGGGAAAGGCATGGCTGATGAGGCTGGAGAGAGAAGACTGAGGACATTAAATGAAAAGGGAGACGAGCATTCCGCAAGGGAGTGGAGAGAGAGCTCTGGATTAGCTGGCAGAGGAGCTGGGTTCCAATCCCGATTGTGCTATCAATGTCTGCATGACCCAGGGCAAGTCACTTGTTGGGTTTCGGATTTCCAGTTTGTAAAATGAAGGGGTTGGCCTCACGAGATGATCCTTTCTGGGTCTAAAATTTGGTGAAACTGAGAAGGGGGAGGGGAAGGAATGAGTGAGACAGGGGCGGATTGATGTCAGAAGAGAGAGATGGGGTTAAGGTGGCAAGAGAGAACGAGCAGATAGAAGATGGGATGAGGGATGGGGGGAAGGGGAGAGGTAGATGGAGCTGGGGGTGGGGTGAGAAGAAAGGACAAAGGGAGATGGAGAGAAACCACAGTGAGAAAGGAGGGAGAAGAGGAAGACCACGTGGAATGAATTGGAAAGGGATGCAGGGAGAGGAGAGCAGAGTGAGGGGTGATGAAGTAGGGCCAGGACTGGAGGAGAATGAAGAAGCCAGCCCAGGCCTGTGAAAGAGATGAGTCTGGGGGCTCAGAAGCCGCAGGTGGAGAGGGGAGCAGGAAAGAGGGAATCAAGGTGGTGGTGGGGGTGGGAATAATGGCCTCTGAAAAGCTAGAGAAACCATCAGATTAGGGCTGGGGAGAGATGGGGCTGATTGGAGAGTGACCCAGGAGGAGGGGGGGGGACTGGAGGAATGAGGGGAGGGGAAAGGAAGAGAGGTGGGTTGAAGGGACCTTGGAACCTAGGGGGGGAGGGGGAAGAGGGCATAGATGTCCAGGCTACCAGGAATAAATGAAGGACCGGGGAGGGGACTCAAGGGAAGACATGGGACTCAGAAGAGAGAGGAAGTGTAGATGGTGGTGGGGTGAGGATAGGGAGGTCAAGAATGAGGGACAGAGATGGGGGGGTAATGAGGAGAAAGGATTAGGATCATGGGCTGGGCTGGAAGGACAGAGAAGAGGGGGATGGCAAGAAGAAGGTGAGAGGAGCCTGCCTGGAGGCTGTCTTATGGGAGAGAGGCAAGTGTGAGAAGAGGCCTTGAAGGAGGAAGAGCTCCAGATATTTTGTTTGGGTGGAGGGAGAGATAGATTGTGGAGATACTTGTTTCCCCTCCACCATCTGGATCCCAAACAGCTCAAACCTCGGGCAGTCTCCGGCCTTCCATCGTTTTGCCTCTTCTATCAGGGCAGAGGAAAGGGGACCCCAGAGTCAAGAATCCATTTGAATTTCACCCCGAGCCCATATCCCATGACCTAGACATCCTCCCCACTGCCATTCTCCAGAATCCAGTCTTCCAGGAGCCCCTAGCCTAAAGGACCCATTTCATTTCCTCCCAGCCCAGTCATCTGGCCCTTCAGACCTCTTTCAGCTCTGTCCATTAGGCCTGCATCCACTTCAGCACCACGGTCGGCCCACTCACTTCTCCATCCCAGATGCCAGACCTTTTATCTCTCTCTCTCCCTTTCCCCCTCTCCTAATTCTCATCCCCTCTTTCCCCAGCACCTTCTCCCTCTTCCCCTCCCCCTTCTTCATTCCTCACCTTCCACTTCTCATCCTCTTTCTCTCTTCTCCCTTCCCCAGCCCACCTCTCCTCATTTCCATTCTCCCTTCTTCCTACTTCTCCCCCCTTTCCTCACCAGGCCCCTTCCCTTCTCACCGGAGGTAGTGACTGTTCATCTCGTGGTGTCGGGGTTGGCAGTGTTCCTTCGCTCTGGGGCGAGGGGAGCCAAGGACGCCTGGGGCCTGGTGGTAGTGGGTCAGGTCTTTCCAGTCCCCCAAGCAGACGGCGGGGAGGTATCCTGTTGGAGAATGAGAGTCAGACCCCAGAAGGGCCAGGGGCCAGTGGAGGTGGTGAGGGGAACCAATGCCTGGCATGGAGAGAACAGAGTCCAGATAGAAGGGGGAGCTCTGGATGAATGCGAAGAGGACTGGGGGGGGGGGGAGTTCGGCAGGGCAGGGTTGGCTGGGGCCCTGCAGGGAGGCCACCCCCCCAACTCTGCGGTCTGGTAGTGAGCCAGAGTCCTCAGTGCGGACGAGTCGGGGAGGGGGGAAAGAGAAGAGAAGAGAAGTAAAAGACGCAGAGACAGAGAGACACAGAGAGTGAGCTGCAGAGGGAGAGACAGGGGGACTCGTAGATGGAGATTGGGGAAAGGAGGGTAGAAACACGCACGAGTAAAGAGAGACATGGAGACACGAAGATTCCGAAGGAGACATTCAGGGAGAGAGAAATACAGAAGAGACAGGAACAGACGAGACTACGAAACTTAGTGAGACAGAGATAAAGATAGAGATTCTCCGAAACCGACACCTAGAAAGACAAAGACTTTAGGAATGAGGGATGCGGCCGGCAAATGAGGCCGGCCGAGAGTTGGGGGGAAGGCAGTCCTGACCCCCCCCCCCCCCCCCCTCTCTGTTTCTCCCCCCCCCCGCCCCCCCCCAGGTCTGCCTTCCACGGGTGCCTCCGCCCCCTTTCCCTCCTCCCACCCTCTCAGCTCCGCCTTCGGGGCTGCGCAGCCTGCGGGCCAGCCCACCGACCCCTGGAGCGCTCCCACCCGCCTCCGCCCTCGAGCTGAGAAGGACGGGGCCGACAGCCTGAGCCCCGCCCTCCCCTGGTGGAGAGCCCCGCCCCTTCCTCGCGCCCGGCTCTACCCCCCTCCCTCTTGCCCCTCTCCTCCAAGACCCACCCCCGCCCCCGGGGGAGGGGCCCGGCCCCGCCCCCTCGGCCTGGGCCCCGCCCCCCGGCCCTGGGCGCCCCCGCCCCCTCCAATGCTGAGCTCAGTCTGTGTCTCCTCCTTCCGCGGGCGCACGGCGGCCAAACAGCCGCAGCAGCCGCCGGCGCAGCCTCCTTCCGCTCCTCCTCCTCCTCCTCCTCCGCCTCCGCCTCCTCCCGGCCCCGGCCCCTGTCCCTGTCCCGGTCCGGGTCCCTGCCCCGGGCCCGTTCCCTCCCCACCCGACGCCAGTCCCGGGCCCGGGTCCGCCTCGGCCCCGGGCCCCGGCCCGGCTCCTCCTGGGCCGCCCGCGGGGGGCGCGCCATGCCCCGGGGGCCCGGCCATGGGGCGACACGGCGGCGGCGACAGCGACAAGATCGTGATCAACGTGGGCGGCGTGCGCCATGAGACGTACCGCTCGACGCTGCGCACCCTCCCCGGGACGCGGCTGGCCGGGCTCACGGAGCCGGGGGCGGCAGTCAACTTCGACTACGACCCGCGCAGCGACGAGTTCTTCTTCGACCGGCACCCGGGCGTCTTCGCCTACGTGCTCAACTACTACCGGACCGGCAAGCTGCACTGCCCGGCCGACGTGTGCGGACCCTTGTTCGAGGAGGAGCTCGCTTTCTGGGGCATCGACGAGACCGACGTGGAGGCTTGCTGCTGGATGACCTATCGGCAGCACCGTGACGCCGAGGAGGCGCTGGACTCCTTCGAGACCCCGGAGCCGGCCGCGGCCGCCGCCGGAGGCCCTGGGGGGCCTGGGGCCGCTGCCGGAGGGCTAGGGGACGACGAGGCGGGCGGCCTGGACGCTGCCGGGGCCGGAGGGGAGCTCAAGAGACTCTGCTTCCAGGATGCGGCCGGGGGAGCCGCGGCCGGGCCCGGGGGCGCCGCGGGGGCGACGTGGTGGCGCCGCTGGCAACCCAAAGTGTGGGCGCTCTTCGAAGACCCCTACTCGTCCCGGGCGGCCAGGGTAAGGAGGCTTCCCCCCCCCCCCCCCCCTCCGGGGGGCTGGCCACCCCGCCCCCCCCAACCCTGGGAGATTCCGCGGGGGCTGCCCCTCACCGCACCCCCCGGAGCTGAGCTTCTCCGGTCCTCGGGTTTTGCGCCCCTTCGAAGTCTACAGACCCGGCCCCCCAGCCTCCTACCAAGGGTCCCCCAAACAGAGCGTTCCTCCCCCTCCCTAAAGCCCCAGGTCGGATACAACTCCTAGCCTTGGGAATGTCTAGCTAAAGCCCGCGGCCCAGATGGTTCCCAAGCCCCAGAGACGTCGGCTGCGGGAGCCCCTTTCCCTACGAAGACCCGCCCCCTCCTGCACCCTGTATTCCTTGCCCCCTTGAAAAACTTTAGATGACTTTTCGCCCCCCTCCCCCTCTTCTGGAGTGCTCCCTCTCCGCCGTCCGGAGAACCCTGGACTCTTCCCTTCCCCCGACCCTCGAGATCTCATCCCAAGTCGTATTGGAGGGAGGGAAGAATCTGGTCCTCTCTTTGTGTCCGAGAAGGGGATGAGGAAAAGGGAAGGGGGAGGATAGCCGGGTATCCTCTAAGGTAGATGCCACCCCCTCCAGGGTCAGGAGATTCGGAGGGTCAGGAGCCCGGTGTCTGCCGCCCGTTCCCCTCCCCCCAAGGGCTGGCTGCGTCCCGGGCCAGGAAAGGACAGGGAGCCACCGCAATGCCGCATCCCTCTTCCCCCTCCCTCTTTCTCCTTCTCCTCCCCCAGGGGGGCTGCGTGGAGGAGGCGGTTTGTATTCCCGGGGAAGTTAGGTCCCAGAGAAACGCTGAGTATGCAGGATTGGAGGAGGGGGGAGGAGGATGGGGGCACGTGGCTCTTAGATACCCCCCCCCTCCGGTGACCTCTTTTCGGGAGAACTGGTGGGGGGCGGGGCCTCCCCTCCTCCTCGACCCTCCCCCCTTCCGCCACTCAGCTATCCCGGAGAGGAGTTAAACCCGTTGTGGGTGAGGAGCAGCTTCTCAGGCTTCGAACTTCGGAGGGCGCCCCCTTCCTCCCTTGCTCCCCTTCTCCCCCTTCTCCCTTTCTACCCCGGCCCGGGTTGGGAAGGAGTTAAGATGGGGGGGAGGGGGAGGGCATTCGTAGGCTCCGCAGCTGCGCAGTGCGGCTCCGGTGGGGATGGGGTTAAGGCCAAACTAACGTTGCGGCTGCGCAGTGCGGCGGGAGCTGTCCGCGGTGCTGCCTCCTCCCCGCCCCCACTGCAGTGCCGCAGCCTTCGCCGCGGGAGGGAGGGAGTCTTGAGCATGCGCACTGCGGTGCCCTATCACCCAGATCACTGCGGAGAAGGCTGGGGGGGGGGGAATGGGGGGCGGGGCGGGAAAGGAAACACATTCAGGTACCGGAGATATGCCCGAGCCCCTTACCCAGATAGGGGAAGGAGACTGGCCCAAGGTCACATAGCAAGTCACAATCAGAGCCTGGGTTCAGACCCACATGTCCCACACTGCCTACAGAGAGACAGACAAGCAGAGAGAGGCAGCGCACAGAGCTTGGCCCACAGAGCTGAGCCCCCATCATCCCCAGACGCCTTCTGGCTCAGATGCCAGGGTCTCCCATCCCACCAACTCCATGAGCAAGGGGTGTGCGTGATAACGGGAGTGAGGAGGTGGGAGGAAGACAGCAGGGCTTTTCATAGCCTGTAGACCAAGGGTCCCTGTCCCTCTTCCTTCCCTAAAGCAAACTCTGGGATCTCTCAGCAGCTGGAGGGAGTCAGAAATGTGAATTTCTGAGGGAATCTGTGGGGCCTGGACCCTTAGATCTGTGAGAGGGGCTGTGGGCTGCACGTTTGTGTCTGAGGAGAGGTAGGGGCCTGAATGTCCAGCTCCTTGAGGGAAGCTGGGAGGAGTGCTTGATGCCTAGAGAGCTAAGGCTGAGGGAGGTCTGGATGTTTGGCTGCCCACGTGGAGTTGGCATGAGTGTGGGTGGAAGGGCCAGCTCAGGCTCCTGGGTCACCTCTTCTTTCCCCTTCCCCCTCCTGCAGTATGTTGCCTTTGCCTCCCTCTTCTTCATTCTCATCTCCATCACCACCTTCTGCCTGGAGACCCACGAGGGCTTCATTCACATCCACAACAAGACGGTGACCCAGGCATCCTCAGTGCCAGGCGAGCCCCCAGAGAATGTGACCAACGTGGAAGTGGAGACCGAGCCCTTCCTGACCTACGTGGAGGGCGTATGTGTGGTGTGGTTCACCTTTGAGTTCCTCATGCGCGTCACCTTCTGCCCGGACAAGGTCGAGTTCCTGAAGAGTAGCCTGAACATCATTGATTGTGTGGCCATCCTCCCCTTCTACCTGGAGGTGGGCTTGTCAGGGCTGAGCTCCAAGGCCGCCAAGGACGTGCTGGGCTTCCTGCGGGTGGTCCGCTTTGTGCGGATCCTCCGAATTTTCAAGCTGACTCGACACTTTGTGGGGCTTCGGGTGCTGGGACACACACTTCGAGCCAGTACCAATGAATTCCTCCTGCTCATCATCTTCCTGGCTTTGGGAGTGCTCATCTTTGCCACCATGATCTACTATGCGGAGCGAATTGGGGCTGACCCTGATGACATCCTGGGCTCCAACCACACTTACTTCAAGAACATCCCCATTGGCTTCTGGTGGGCCGTGGTTACCATGACAACCCTGGGGTACGGAGACATGTACCCCAAGACTTGGTCAGGGATGCTGGTGGGGGCGCTGTGTGCCCTGGCAGGTGTCCTTACCATCGCCATGCCTGTTCCTGTCATCGTCAACAATTTCGGCATGTATTACTCGCTGGCTATGGCCAAACAGAAGCTGCCGAAGAAAAAAAATAAGCATATTCCCCGCCCCCCTCAGCCGGGCTCACCCAATTACTGCAAGCCTGAGCCCCCTCCCCCTCCACCCCCAGCCCCCGGGCTCCCCCACCATCACAGTGGCCTCAGCCCTCCCCCACCTGGATCGTACCCAACGGGGCTGCCTGGGCCCCATGGCCATGTACACCCAGGGCTCTTGAGGGGTGGGGCGGGGGGGCTTTCGGGAATGGGCCTGCCCCCTCTGCCTGCCCCTGGAGAGCCTTGTCCACTGGCTCAGGAGGAGGTGATTGACATCAACAGGGCAGGTGAGGAAGAAGGTGACGAGGGGCTGGGGAGGGGGGGAAGGGAGGAAGTAGACAGAAAAGGGCCAGTGAGGGAGAGAGGGTCACCGCAAGAATTAAAAACAAAGTAGTCATGGAAAGGGGGTCGCTGAGATCAAGAGAGGTGATCAGAGATGGAATGATACAGAGAGATGGTCACTGAGAGAGAAGGTCACAGCCAATCAGGAGCACAAAGGAATCATCCCAGAGACAAAGACTGTGGCAGAAATAGAGGGGGACACAAGGATGATCACAGAGACAGAGACTCACAGAGATGGAGGGAGATACAGAGATGGTCACAGAGATGGAGGGAGACAGAGGGGTGGTCACTGAAAGATAGACTCTCAGAGAGATAAAGACACACAATGACCATCACAGAGGAGAGACACAGGAGGATGGTCAGAGACAGAGACTATCACAGAGATAGACACAGAGATGATTAGAGACAGAGTATCACAGAGACGAAGAGAAACAGGAGTGGTCTCAGAGAGACAAACTGACTCAGAGACAGGGAAAGTTTGTTCAATAAGAGACAGAGGCTGTCACAAAGACAGAAAGAGATGCAGAGGGATGGTCAGAGACAAGGACTGAGATGAAAAGACAGAAAGGGGGGGTCAGAGATAGACTATCCCAGAGGAGAGAGACATAGAAGGGTGATCAGAGGCAAATTACTGTCACTGGAATGAAGAGAGATGCAGAGGGATGGTTGCTGAGAGACAGAATGTCACAGAGATGGGTAACAGAAATGCAGCAGATTGTATCCAACCCAGCAAGCACTTATTAAGCACCTTTTGTGCTGGGGAAGCATAGATGAAAGCTAAATAATTCCTGCCCTCAGAGAATTCATATTTGGAAGGGTAGGGTGGGATACAACTCATACCCAAATAATGGATATACATAAGAATTGAAGGAGGAGGGAAAGAAAGCAGATTGGGGAGGTTCAGTTTCCCAATTGGTAAACTAAGTCTTGAAGGAATCCAGGGATTTTGAGAGATGGGAGGGAAAGGGATGTGCATAGAAACTGAGAGCCACTCCTGGTAATGGCCATGGAGGCCGTCAAAGAGAGGGTCATAGTGATGGCCAGAGAGACCCAGGAAAAGCTACTGAAATTCAGAGACATTGTTCCTAGCAACAGAAACACACATAGGTGGTCGGGGGGAGAGACACAGAGACACTCACTCACCTTCTGAGAGGCAGGAAAAGGTACACAGATTGTCATTGAGCCAAGAGACTGAGACATTGAAAGACGGTCGTGGAAACAAAGAGGTGATCTACCACCAAGCCAGAGAAACAGGCCAGAAAAAGAAATGGTCCTGGAGACCTCAGCAATGGGTATTGGGACAAACACCAGGCAAGAGGAGCACAGGAGGTGGGTAACAATCACCAAGATGGAGGTACAGGTTCTGGAGAAGGTGGCAGGGAAGGAGATACAGGGATGGTAACTGACAAAAGACAGGGATAGTCATGAAGACGGTCACAGGTGAAAGGACCGACTGTCAGTAAGACAGCCTCAGAGGAAGAAGAGATGGGCAGCAACAGAGGAGAGGTACAGACACTGGAAGGGTCTCTGAGAGGTCTTGGCCTCTGTGGAGCCTAGACAGGAGACAGAAGGAGGCTGAATGGGCAGCTAATCAGAGCAATGAAAATGAGGGGGCCTAGATCACTTCCCCTCCTTTGCTTAAAGTAGGTCAGTCGTGGTGGCTGGGGGTGGGGGGAGAGAAAAGACTGAGCAGCCCAGGCCCTGCTCCCTTAGCAGCTGACCCACATTCACACCAATTAAAAATAACTCTTGAGTCCCCCTTCCTGTTCCCCTCCCCCTCCTTCCACTCGTGCATCCCATGTCCTCCCCCAAACCCTTACCTCTTTCTTCAGGTCTAGATGTCTTCATTGCCCTTCCTGTCTTCATGATCCCCTCTCCCATCTGCCATTCTGCCTGAACACCTTGTGAGCTATGTCCTCCTCACATCACCTCCCCTGCCCCCATCTGCATTCCCTTCCCCCATCACCTCCCCCACCCCCATCTGCACTCCCTCCCCATCACTCCCCCGCCCCCATCTGCACTCCCTTATACCTAGAGACCTGCCAAATGTTCTTGTTGGAAGGCGCCTCCAAGGCCATCTGGCCCTGTGTGCACCTGGACCCAAATCCCTGCGACAGCACGGCCAGGAGGGGCTCACCTGCCCTTGCCTTGAGGACCGCCAGTGAGTGGGGAGCCAGTGTTCTGGTCAGCTCAGTCCACTGTGTGGCAGGTTCAAGGGCTGCTTAGGACATCATCCTTCCCTAAGGACTCAATTGGCTTCTTTGCCAATTTGCCCCCACTTCTTTGCCTCCCACTTACTCTTGTCTGTCCTTTGGGGCCAAACAACCCAAGTCAACTCTGTCTTCCACAAGACAGGCCTTAAAATACTTGGAGGCAGCTGGCATGTACATCTCCCCTCTCCATTGCCCCATCTCCCAGCTTTCTCTTTTCCTAGCTAAACAGTCCCAGTTCCTTCCATTGGTTCTCTTAGGGATGGCATAGACTACAGACCTTCTTCACCATTCCTGGGGATTTCTGCACACTTTCCAGTTTATCCAAGTCCTTCTTCAAAGGTGGCAACCCAAGCTGATCATAAGGGCAGAGAATAGTCACACTGGCATTTGGTGCCCAGCTCCTATGCCCAAGAGCCATTCACACTTTGGATGGTCATACTACCTCATTGACTTATATTGCCCTTTCATTCCACCAGAAGTAAATTTGTCCTTCACTCTAGGAAGGAAGTGCTATTATGATCCCCATTTTATAGGTGATGAAACTGAGGCAGAGGTGAAGGGACTTGTCCAGGATCATGCAGCTAGGAAGTGTCTGAGGCTGAATTTGAACTCAGGTCTTTCTGACTCCTGGCCCAGGGTTCTGTGCACTCTGGTGCCCCTTAGTTGAACTAGGACCCCCCCTCATTTTTTTATTCACATGAGCTGCCCTCCAGGCATAACTCCCCCCTTTTAACTTGTGGGATTGACCTTTTGAATTCACGTTAATAGTTTCCATTTCTCCCTATTGAGTTTTCTTCTCAACCCAATGCTTTAGACTGGTCATTTTCAAACAAATTCAAACTTCACACTCTTGAAAATTATCGAAGACGCTACCCTGCTGCCCAGGACCTTTTTGTTTAGGTGGATTATATTTATATTTACCAATATACTAGACATTTAAAAGTCCTGGTGCTATTGTGAAAATAGCTTGGACCTCTCAGACTCTTGAGAACTGCTGCGTTAGCCTCTTTGAGTCTTGGTTCCTGTCACGGTCATCTGCAAATTCAGGGAGCTTGCCTGGCCAGCCTTTATCTCAGTCGCTGATAAAAATGTTAAGCAGCACAGATCCCTGGGGCACTCCCCTTGAGACTGCCTGCCGAGGTGACATTGAACCATGAATGACTGACTGCTCCTCAGCTCTGGCCAGCTACCCAGTCCCACATCTATGTTTAGCTCTCGATTCTCTTTTCCACAGCAGCATTAAGACTTCGTCAAGTATTCCGCCCAAATCTAGGCAAACGGCACCTCCTGCATTCACCTGATCCACCAGTCTTGTAACTTGTCAAAGCAGGAAATAACGTTCTTCTGGCCTGACCCGGTATTCTGCCAGCTGCCGGCCGGCTCCTCCTTTACTCCACCCCCCCCTCTTGGCACCCTCATATCCAATCCCTATTCACACTCTCACAAAATCACCACACCTCTTAAAGCAGCCCAGGCTACTTTTGGACAGCTCCCTCCTCGATCTCCAGGCGAAATGGGCCTCTCTTTGCCTGCCTCCCCGATCCTGGTTCTGCCAAATGCAATACCTCTTCCATGATATGGCCCTTGTGATGCCGAGAGAAAAGCTTTCATGGCACCAAATGCCAGAATTTGAGAGTTAGAAGGGACCTCAGTGACTTTTAGCCCACCTCCTCATTTTATAGATGGGGGAAAAAAAGTCCCAGAGAGACACACAGGAAGCACACCAGTTCTATGGTGAAATTTGAACTGGGGTCCTTCTGTTCCCGAGCTGGGGCTCTTCCCCCTTCTAAACGGCTACTTCTGCCATCACTGATCAAAGAAGGAGTCTAACCAATCCCACCTGGGCCGTTGACTTGTGGTGGGAGCTGGACAAAGCCTTTCACTGTGGGCCTCAGTTTCCTCATCTGTAAAATGAAGGAGATGGACCCCTTAAAGTCCCTGCCTCCTCTCGATCTAGGATCCTATGATCCTAAGCACTCTTCCATGTGACAGTCCCTTAGGTTCTTGAAGATGAGAATCTAAATTCCCTCAGCCCTCTCTTTGCCAGGTTAGACTCCCCCAGTTCCTACAATAGGATCTTTTTATGTTATAAACTGGAGGCTCTTCACCATCCTGGTGGTGACCCTGGGGGTGCCTTTGCTGCCTAGCTATGCCTTTATATCTTGTCTTGCCACACCCTGCCCCCCCACTCCCCATCTCTCTTCACTCACTCTGCCCCATGTTCCTTCATGCCTCATTCCCCCAT